GCAGTAACTAATAAAGAAGAAACAAGTCTTTGTCTATTAACCTTTGGTGGTATATATGTCTTCAATCTTTTAGTTTTTAGTTTTGTTTAACGACCAACAAAGTTTAAAGTTGATAAGTGTTTAATATAAGTTAATTTTGATATTCAATTTGGTAATTATATTGTTTTGATTTTGTTAAATATCTAGATAAGTCATTCTAATTTTACTTGTTTTGCAAACTTGATGAACATAGAGAGTCAGAAGAGAAAAATGAAGAAAGTAGAGGAATTCTAAGCAAATTCTGGCAAACTGACTTGAGCGTAGTTGAAGTGTGAAATTTAAGGCCTATGTCATATAAATAAACACACCTTAGAGAGAAACCTCAAGCACTGGACCTAAGATTAAAGTCACGAAGAATCCTTCTCCTAAAGAAAACCAAGCTTGGTAAGAAACCTTGCAGCTAAAGCCATGATGTCACCGTAGAAGTCATGCACTGAAATGTTTATAAAAACACAATTGTTCCTTTGTTTTAGGAGACTTCTAGACAACTTTTCTAAAGAAACTTTAAAGACTTTCTCATACACTTTCTTTGTACTTTAAAGAACATCATTACAAGGTTAGGAGATTATGTCTGTTGTTTGTATTAAATTATTCCCATCCATCATGAGGAGTTAAATCTACTAAGTGTTGAAGTCATATGTAACCCTTTAAAACTCTCTTGTATTTGGTATTATTTTATTTATGAATGTTTGCTTTTAATTACATGTTTGTGAATTGGTTTATGTTTTTTGTTGGATGAACTTATCATTCATCTTATTTCAATAGCTTGGGATTGGGTGGAAAATGGTTCTAAGTTGTGGTCCAATCAATTATCCTCCTACTTTTAGATGCTACGAATAGATCTAAGGCTCTAACTAGCTATAGGGTTCTGATCTTAATGCAAGTGATCCATTTAAGTAGTCACAGAGAAATAATAATGAACTTTGGTGAGGCTTTAAGTTCCAAAAATGGACCTAGAGTTACACTCAAAGAAAACTCCCAAAACATGATTTCTTGCACTTCATATTTAATAACAGGCACAAAAAAGGGATAAAGTGATGTAGTCGAGCTGCAACATGTTTTCATCATCTAGAAGTCAATCATTTTCAAATTTAAACTGTTTTACAGTGCATTTTTTGCTTTGTTTTCATAAATCAACTTTGTTTCATACTTTATGTAATTCATGTAAAACTTTATTCATGTTCAAACTAGTTAGAACATTGTGTTTTCTGTCAAGTCCATGTGGATACGACACTTGTCATACTACAAACTATCAAATATACTTACATATATATTTGGTTGTTGTGTGGGAACCCAACAAGTTTTTGGTATTGTTATCGAGGATTTGTTTGAAGAGAATCTTTATTTCAAACTAGATTGGCCACTGTATAAATTGTATTTAATTTTAGTTACTTTAACATATTTCCTTTTACTGTTACATAGATCTTTTGCATAATTTTCTACATGATTTTTCTTTGTACTATTTGGGATACTCATTATTCTTTAAGGCATTTTGTATACAAAGAAAGAAACAAAAACATGTTCTCTTATTTGATCTTGAGATTGAACGCACAACAAGGAGACTTAACAACATAAATAGGAAGCAAAAAACAACAGTTTAGCAAGCAAAGACCATAATTTCACACTTTGATATGGACACTCACTATTTGATTCAAATAGTTGCAGGAAAGAACCAACAAAGATTGTTGGGGGATTACACACAATAGTAGGAACCACGTCACTTTTCAAGTATAATCAGACCTGCTAAAGGTGTAGAGATGAAGCCTACATTGCTCTCATTGATGATAATAAATCATTTTGTTAGTTTAGATCAAGAAGACTCTTTTGATCATTTAGCCACATTCTACAAGCTGTGTGAAACTCTTTGAATAGATTATGATGATGTGGATGTTGTTTATCTTAGACTATTTCCTTTTTCACTCACTGGCAAGGCCAAAATATGGTTATAATCTCACTCAAATCAATGCTTAACAAGTTAAGACGATGTGGAGAAAAAGTTTCTAGCAAAATTTTTCTCACCTTTGAAATATATTAGCTCTAAAGCTACCATTGCAACTCTCTCCCAAGGAATTGATGAACATTTTTGTCAAACATGGGAGGGATATAAAGCCATATTAAAGAAATGTCTTAATCATGGATTTGATGATATAACACAACTCGACATGTTTTATAGTGGGCTTAGGCCACATACCAAGATGTTACTCGATGCTTCAACACCTGGAATCGTGATGACGAAAAGTGCTAAAGAAGTTATCATCATCATTGACTCACTAGCAACAAGTGATCATTAAGTCCAATATGATAGAAGTCAATCTTCCAAAAAAGGAATTCTAGATTTAGGTACACAAGATGTCATTCTAGCACAAACCAAACTCATCTCTCAAGAAATAGAAGAGTTAAAGAAGTAGATGACAAAAGTGTAGCTTAATCCACGATCTTATGGATCAACATTACAGATTCTAAAATGTGACTTTTGTGTTAAAGAACATTAAAATGATCACTCCTTTACAACTAAAACTTTAAAGGAAGAAGAAGTGAACTACATGAATAGTAGTAGGAGGCCAAATAACTACTATCATAACTAGAGATAAAATCAAACTCAAAATGAACATCAAAGTTCGAGACAAAAAAAGGATCATCAAGTAGGAAAATTGCACAATTGCCTTATCAAGGGCAACAGCCTCAACAACAATACAAAGTATCTAAAATCAAGGATGGGGGAACTCAATTTATCTAGGTATTGACCTCCAATCAAAAGAATAAAGAGACATCTCTTAGAAACATGTAAGTGCATATTGGTCTACTACCTCAACAATTGACATACCAACAAAAAGTAAAACTCTCGACCAATACAAGAATCAATCCCAAAGAACAATGCAAGGCTATCACAACCAAACAAGGTACTTTGATAGGTAAAGGGATTGGATGAAACCACAAGAAAACACTAGAAGAAGGGAGAGTTGAATATTGTTTTCAAAAATCCTTTCACAATATAGTGCCTGACAAATATTGTAAGATATGTTTGATCAAGGGGTTCACTTAAACGTTGTTATTTTATTAAACTCGTATAAATGTATGTTCAATAAAACAATGTAGTAAGCACAAGGAGTATGTTTAATGATTCAACTTCTAGAATAAGGTTTATAAAGATTGTTACAAGAGTTGCATATATGCTAGGTTATATGAAAAACTTTTCAAGAGAAGATTAGAAAGATAAAGCAATGAACAATTAGTATTTTTATATCGATTCACTTCAACTAAGCTACGTCCAGTTCTCCTTCGAACACTCTTGAGATGTTCCACTTATAAGTAACTTTTTATTATTTACTTCCATTAAGAGTGTAGTTATAGTCATTAAAGTGTAAGGTTAATGTTGTAACGTTTGAGCCTACTCCTTCACTTATTGAGCTTCACAATCATAATCTTCTACTAACCCTTCTTGGATCATGAAAAATTTTCATTATAAGTTTTCAAAAACAACTCTTGAATATAATGTATTTCTTTTATATGTTAAAAGTTTTTTTTAATGTAACATGAGAATGTTACATTCTTAAAAACATGCCTTCAAAAATTATTATCAACAACATTATCACTGATATAGAAAAAATTTTCTTTTACGTATTGTGTTTTTAGTTTTTTAGTTTTTAGTTTTATTCTAGGTTAAACGTAGATTTGAGAGATAAATTTCCTTCACCAACATTACGTAACATGTCTTCTAAATGATCATTCATATATTCTCTATTTTTCCATATGTTTAGTTGTTTCTACCATAGCAAGATTGTCTAATATTTCTAACAAGGCACCTAATAATAATTTATAATTTAATTAAATAATAAAATATTTAAAAACCTAAAATTATATAAAAATAAAATATCTAATAATAAATCAAATAAAAAGATTAATAAATGTAAAATTATAATAATCTTAACAATTCAACTAATAAGAATTTATATTTCATAAAAAATATTTAGTAAATTTAAAATTATCTAAAGTCTAAAAATTCTAAAATAATATAAACTTAAAAAATCTAATAAGTATAAAATAATTCATAACTATAAAATTATCCAAACTCTAAAATATCTAAGAAAAAACTAATATAAAAACCAAGTCAAAATCACGTTTTGTTACACGCAATAATAATGCAAAGAAAGAAAATCAGAAAAGTGATTGTTAATGCTTTATCACAATGGCAAGATAAACGGAAATAAGAAAAACCAATCTTAATATGAAAAATAATCGGGAGTAAAAAGGTTTCTCAATGCACACCACACACTACATAAGAAGAAATCGTAAGCTTCAAGAACTAATAGAGACCCTATAGTATTCATAAATCACACTACCTTCAAGAACACTGTTGCGTTTATATATACATAATAAAGAAGAAAGTAGAATGAAAAAGGCACGATGATTTCTCTTTTAAAGCCATTTACATTTGAACTCTCCCCATTAGATGCACATTTTTATTTTTAGTTATGATCCATTTAGGTCACAAATAAATTTAGTTTAACATAAATGGATCCGACATAAAAATCAAAATTTTGGTATGATAAAGAGGAATCAACGTAAATTTTAATAAATAATTAACCAAAAAAATCACTGCGCAATATAAAAAGTTAATGTCGAATAAACATTTTACTTCTATTTGTTATTTGCTTTGTTTAAATTAAAAAATCCACTTAAGTTTAACCAAACATTTTGTTTAGATATATTAAGGAAGAACATTCCTAGTTATAAGGTTGTAGAAAGCATTTTTAGTTATAACATTCATTTTAAGGAAAGTTACGATATTCTGAAGGATATAATTTCTGGAAAAGTAAAATGATAATATTGCTGGCTATGATATTTTTTTCTTTTTTTTTTGTTTAAATCTATTGGCGATAGAGTAACGAATCTGGTTCCATCTGGAGTAGAAGCTAGAATAGATTATTGTGAAGTAGGCAAAAGCAAACACAATAAGCGGTGAATGACACTACCCCATGCATTCTTTAGCCACGTGTCCTTCCTTCCCACCAAGGACACTTGCGCATGATGTTTCAGAAACATATACATATACCAGTATCATCTATTGCTTACCATGCTTCCGTTTCTTTCTCAGTCTCAAAAACAGCCATTGTTATTCCTCAACTTCTTCTGAATCTGAACTCAGCAAAGACAAAGGCATGCATCAAACGGATATGATGAAGGTACGTACGTAAGCTCATTTCATGCAAGAGGTGAATTAATATGTATGTATAACACCCCACTATATGTTCGTAATTGTACTGGTAAAGGATATATGCTGACATGGTAGTTACTTGTCATCATGGGTTAAGTGAACAGCAGATTATATGCTGTTAAAAAGTAGAAGATTATATGAAACTGACTATATTCAAAACACATATGAGAATTTAATAGGAGACTAAGAATTTTTCATAAGCAAGAAAATCGCCTCAAAGGAAAGAAAAACACAGAAGCTAAGCAGCAACTTGGATTCTGTGAAAGACATGAAAAACCACATCATTAAAGATTTTAAAGAGACTTATATTTGAAACAGAAGAAAGAATTTATTATTATTATTATTATTATTATTATTATTATTATTATCTATAACTATGAATTTAATTATTTGTTAGAGATAATTTACAAAAAGAATGGAAGCAACGGGCTGGGTTTTAGTTTTATCTATTCAAAATATTTGAAAGTTATTTGAAAAAGAAACTATTTCCTCCCATATATTTCCAACCAAAACTTTATGTAAAGAAAATCTAAACCTTTTTACGGGATGAACCGTAAAATAATAATTAAATACAGTAAAAAAATAAAACAAATTACAAAGGTAATTTTGCATTTATGTGATAGGGAAAATACTGTCCCGTTACCCATCTAAAATTGGAAAATTGGAGACATTGACGCATATCCCTATGTCGTAACAATGGAGGCACCAACTAATGCACTTATGATGTGATATTGGATGAAATCAAACCTCTTCCATCACGCACATGCAAAACTCCATGTGTTCTAAATTGTTATTTTATGCAATATTTATGTAACCTTTTTTTTTTTCTTAAATAAAAGCTGGAATTTTATTCAGTGTAATCCAAATAAATAGTTTCTTGACATCAAGTAATGGCTTTATGAAGCATCATGACATGTTCCGGCTTGATATTTTTTTCTTGTTTCGTCTTGACCAGGCCAAATCTAACTTGCAAAAAAGAAAGTCAACTTTGACTACCGATGAACATCCTTCTCCATTCAAGGTATATCTAGCAACTTTTATGTATATACCGTTGTTTGGACGAGTTCGAAGCAAAACATGTTTTTTAAATTTTAATTACTTAGTCCTTTGGTTTATCAAATATACACATTATTTTTAATCATTTTTAGTGCTACATATATCATTTGAAACCCCCTTATCCTTATAGTTCTTCACTGCAAGGACTCTCAGGATTTAAAACCTCACCTGAATTTAGGAAACAGTTAGTACCGATGTTCTGATAGAATTCCTTTTATATTAGAAGAGGATATCAAGAAGAGGAAGCGATTTGGATTCTTTTGAAAGAAAGGTTATCCTCTTTCATTTTCGTTCTATGCATTTTCATCTTATAATATTAATTATTAAAATTATAAATGTTTGTTAATGGGGTGGTTGAACTCAACCTCTCCTACCTTCCCTTCCAACTTTACCACTTATAACTCCTTTGTTCTTACATAATCGTTTCAATCTATTTATGTTTTGTGCTTATATTATCGTTTCAAGCACTTGTGGGGATTTTACAATTGCTCAAGTACAATCATTAAAATAGGTTACTTGATTTTTATCATATCAGTCAACAGATCATGAGAAATAGCTTTTGCATCTTGAGACTTATGGTTAACCATTTTTAGCTTCTCGTTCTCTACAAAACTTCATTCCCATGCATGCTCTCCCCAAAATCAAATGATCATTAGTAAAAGACATGGATTTTATCACACAATCTAACATAGGAAAGCCTGAACTTTACTAAACACAGGAGCTACCTCACAAGGGTATGGTCACAAGATACCCAAATGAAAAGAATAACCCTTCAACTAGACATTTCATCCATGGATATCACCTAATACAAGGACAGATGAACCATGGAATGGAAGACTATATTTTCGCTCAACGTAGGAATCTCGATGGCTATGACTTAGGATTGTATGCAATATTTGATGGTCACTCCGGTCATGAAGTTGCCAAATACTTACGAAACCATCTATTCGAAAATATACTGAGTGAGGTATATCCTTTTGTAACTGTTATATTTCAGTCCACACCATTATTATTCTCACTTATATTTGTTTTCTTAATCATGCATCAATAGCCTGGTTTCTGGGAAAATCCAGGGCAGGCTATTAAGAAAGCATGCAAAGCAACGGATGATGAGATTTTAGAAAACATAGCTGATTCACGTGGAGGATCAACAGCAGTTGCAGCAATACTAGTCAATGGAGTAAAGCTACTGGTAGCCAACGTTGGTGATTCTCGAGCAATATCATGCAACAAAGGTCGAGCAAAGCCACTTACTCTGGATCATGATCCAGAGAAGGAAAAAGCTCTTGTTGAGAGCAGAGGGGGTTTTGTGTCTAAGAGACCCGGTAATGATGACAAAAATTCATCAATATTTATACACTTAAAACTTCAACTTTCTTGCTCATCCAAGAAAAAAAGTTAGTTTTAGAGTAGCCAATAACTACTTCAGGGCAAAAATTAAAATATTAGAAGTTTAATTTTGGAACTTCATAACTGATATTTATATTTTAAAATTTAATCTTTACATATGCATCATTCTTTATGATAGTGCAAATATACAACATTTTTTCTATCCTGTACATGAGAACATTATTACTAGTATGAGAGCAGTTTTACTAGAATAATGATGATAGCTTTTAAAGGGTAAAATCTATCTCTACCAAAGGCTTGTGTATAATGCTAATTCTTGACGTCTGTGAAATTGGGGCTTCTAAGTCTGTCTTGCATGTCACTACATAGATTTAAGAGAATAAGTATCCTTTACTATTAATGCTTTATAACCCGCAATTGTGTGCCCGATATGCTTGCCTTATTTCTAGTCATGAGCTGCATCTTGTCAAATATTGCTAATATGAATTTTCAATATACCAAGCTTCCGTATGCACAGCAGTACCTACTACCAAACTACAGCTCATTGATTATCGTACAAGATAACTCTATTGCCCTAATTTGCAACACCCAATCACGTAATGTAATTACTATAACGAGAGGATCACGTAGACTAAGCATGCATGCGTGAGGCTCAACATCTTATGTCAACTGAACAACTTGTTCTAATTCAGGAATCTGACATTTGATATGTTCCATGCAATGTTCATGTAATCTAACTGAAAATCTTTGTTAACGGTAGTAGCTTACCCTGTCCTCCAAATGGACAAGCCTTCCCTCGCCCTAAACTTTCGTGTCTCAAAATTGTGACTGTGACCCCCTTTTTCCTACTTTTGCTGCATTCACCAGTGACTTTATGTTCTTAGGGTTATAATATAGATACCCAATAATTTTTTTCACCTACCTTGTAGCCTTTCTTCTCATTCATTTGATTTTATTTATATTTTCATTCGTGAACTTGTGTTGTTCCTGCCAAGTCCAGTACTGAACACTATCTGAATTACCAGTACTGAACATTATCTAAATTGCCAAAAACATGACTTCATCAGGGAATGTTCCAAGAGTGGATGGGCAATTAGCAATGACAAGGGCATTTGGAGATGGAAAACTAAAGGAGCACATTACGGCAGAACCAGATGTGACCATTCAGAAGATTGATGAAGACACTGAATTCATTATTTTGGCAAGTGATGGTCTGTGGAAGGTACATGAATATTGCATGCATCTTATAATTACAGATGAACACATATTGGCTGATGCAGAACAAGCATAACCCTAAACTCTACAATTTTAAAAACTCTACAATTTTAAAATTTTAAGGATATATACCGTAGATGCAAAACCAAAAATATAAAGGATAAGAAATTAGCCAAAAAATAGTAAGATGCTATGTATTTCATATTTCTAATCAATTGCTAACTCATTGTGGAATAACTGAGTGAGATTACTAAGAAATTAGCCAAAAAATAGTTTAGGGACAAGAAGAAACATGGAAGTAAGGTGAAATGAAATACATAGCATGTCAAGCTCATTTGCATTTTTTATTAGCGTAGATGCAAAACCAAAAATATAAAAGATGAGAAATTAGCCAAAAAATAGTAAGATGCTATGTATTTAATACTTCTAATCAATTGCTAACTAAGAAATTAGCCAAAAAATAGTTTAGGGACAAGAAGAAACATGGAAGTAAGGTGAAATGAAATACATAGCATGTCAAGCTAAGTTCATTTGCATTTTTTATGGTCAAAATCTATCCTATATTACACCGTAACATGTAATTCTGTATGTGCTCATTGGTGCCAAACCAAATTCTAGGATTTGCACATTTTCTGACTGTGCTCTTAGCTCCGGAAACATGGTCTGAACAGTTGGAAACTACCCTTGTTTTCTTTGTTCCTAATAGTTCGTTTTTCTTCTCTTAATTACGCACGAGAACCATGCCATCTGTACTTTTAGATTTGTTATATGTGCAGAAAGTCATTTTCTTTATTTATACATAAATTTTATTTTACTTTATTTATCATAATTATATTGTGTTAAAAGTTATCCTATTTATTATGATTATATTGTGTTAAAGGTTATCCTATTTATCATGATTATATTGTGTTTGGGGTTACTTTTGTATCAATTTATTCTTATAAATAGAAGATTGTATAGAAGATGGTGAGTATTTTATAGTTTAATTCTTAAGTTGGTATCAGAGTAGATCGATCCCGTTCTGGTTTCTGTCTTGTAATATTTGTCTGACGTGTCTGACGTCCCAGTCGTCGTCACTCGCCATCGTCTGCTGCTGTCCGCTGTCAGCCACGTTCGTCGCCGGCCACCATCGTCCATCGTTGTCATAGTTCTGTTTATTTAAACCCTTAAGGTTTTCTTGTTCCTCGCTGGTACTATTCGTTTTCTTCAAAAATGGTGTTGCAATACTCTTTCTTTCTCCGGAAATTTCCCGTTGTTTGTCCTGTTTATGACAATCAGTGGAACCTAAACTTCTTGTTGTTTGTCCTGTTTATGACAATCAGTGGAACCTAGACTTCTTGTATCTTTGAGGGCTTTCAAAACTTGTCACTCCTTTTAAAAGAAAGTCCAAAGCATTTATGCTAACGATATTTAACGCTTCTATGACACTATGAATAAGCTTGCATCTCTTAAAATGGCAGACCATGATATGGTGTTTTCATGGCTGAAGCTTAATCTGTTGTCGAAAAACTCAGGATATTTTTGGAAATGAACCCATTAGAGGATATAAAAAAGAAATAGACAAATTTTAGATGGTGTTGATCCTTTGTGTCCTACATCCCAATTTTGATCATCTCAAAGATCAACTTCTAATTAGTCATGAAGTCTCTCTATGGAAACATTGACCATTCGTCTTTTGCGTGTTCTAGTACCTCAAACTCAAGAAGCTTATGAACTAGTGAATCATCTGTCATGGTTGTCACACGAGGAAGAAGAGGACGTGGCACTAGAAGAGGAGAACGAGGAGGTCGGGGACGTCCTCTGTAAAAAGATGGGTCATATTCAAGAGAATTGTTATTCCTTACATGGTTTCCCTTCTAAATTGCCAATACTTCGAAGACTGAAACTTCCACTTCGAAGACAGAAACTTCCACTTCTATGTTTTTTGAGGATAAATATCAAAAGTATTTAAGGTTAAAGTTTAACAGCTTGGCACAACCATCTTAATCTCTCAGTGCATGGATAACTTGTCTTTTTCAATCTATGAAAGGTCAAAATTTATGGGTAATTGACTCAGGTGATTTTGATCATATTTCTGGTAATATCTCTCTGTTCTCATCTATTTTCTTTCGAGAAAAACTTCATTTCATAACCTTGCAAATGGATCTATCTAAAACTTTCTTCAAAGGAGTCGTTCATGTTTCTTTGTCTCCTACCCTCAATCTCAACTGAGTCCTTTTCGTTTCTAATTGTCCTTTTAATTTAATTTTCTTAAGCCAGTTGACCAAAATGTTAAATTGTTCAATAACCTTTGATCATAAATCTTTGTTATACAAAAGCGTGGTTCGGGGAGACAGAATGGAGAAAATTAAGTTGGCATATTATACCATTTTGGATCTCATCCAAGGGTATCTTGTGTTGATGCTCCTAATCCGAATGTGTTACATGATCGACTTGGTCATCCTCATTTGTTCAAATTAAGAAAGATGTGTCCTGAACTTATTGGTCTCCAAACCTTAGAATGTGAGTTATGTTAATTAAGAAAACATGTTAGATCATCCTTTCTTAAAAGGTCTCAATCAATATGTAATTTTAGTTATTTTAGTTTTTCCATCATCCATTCTGATATATAGGGACCTAGTCGTGTTTCCTCCTTTGGTTTTAGATATTTTGTTACCTTTATTGATGAATATTCAAGATGTACTTGTGTTTATTTTATAAAAAATCGTTATGAATTGTTAGCTATCTTTATATTTTTTTGAATGAAATTAAGAATCAATATGGTCAAATAATTAAAATATTAAGAAGTGATAATGCAAAAAGTGTATTTCTCATCATACACCGCAGCAAAATGGTATAGCAGAATGCAAAAGTAAACACTTGGTTGAAATTGCTTGTACCTTTTGCTTGGTGCCTATATTCCTGTCCATCACTGGGAGATGTCATCTTAATTGCATGTTATCTTATTAATAGGATGCTCTCCTCCTCTCTTGATAATAAAATCCCTTTCTCCATTTTGTTTCCTAATGTTTCTCTCTTTCATACATCTTCCTGAGTGTTTCACTGTACGCTCTCAAATGTGTCTTCTTAGGCTATTCCCGAATTTAAAAAGGATACCGGTGTTATTTTTTTGAAACTAAGAAGTATTACATGTCAGTCAATGTCACATTCTTTGAACAGACTCCTTACTTCTCTCCATTGTTCAGGATGTTTCTATCCTCTAGCAGGTTCTTCCAATTCCAATGACTAAATCAAATAGCTCCATTGTTTCTGTCATTCCAAGTCTTGATCACGATCCTTCTAAACCCGTTTCTCCACGTACTGAGATCACCCAACACAGGGTCCCAATGGATAGTCCACCTCTCCAAGACAATGGTGAATCTTCTACTTCAGATTCTTCTTCCTCGTCACCTCCTCCCACGCCTCTTAATGAAAATGATTCAACATGGCCTATTATTCTCAGAAAAGGTATTCGTTCCACTCGAAACTTTCATCCCATTTATAATTTTTTAAGCTATCATCGATTATCGCCTTCCTATTTTTCTCTTTTATCCTTAGTGTCCTCTGTTGTTATACTCAAGAATGTGAAAGAAGCACTTGATCATCTTGGATGGCAACAAGCTATAATTGCAGAAATGCAGGCTCTTGCACAGTAATACTTGGGAGCTAGTGTCCCTTTCCCCAGGCAAAAAGGCGGTTGGTTGTTGATGGGTGTATGCAGTTAAAGTCGGTCCTGATAGTGAAATTGATCGGCTCAAAGCTCGGCTTGTTGCAAAAGGTTACACTCAGGTTTATGGTCTTGATTATTGTGACACTTTCTCTCCTGTAGCCAAGATGACTACTATTCGCCTCTTCTCAGCCATTCGTCATTGGACACTTCATCAATTGGATATCAAGAATGTCTTTTTACATGGTGATCTTGAGGAAAAAGTTTATATGGAGCAACCTCCTGGGTTTATTGCTCAAGGGAGTCCGGTATGGTATGCAAATTGCATCGATCTCTATATGGCCTCAAGCAATCCTCACGTGCTTGGTTTGGAAAGTTTAGCTCCATTGTTCAAAAATTTGAGCTAAAACGTAGTGAAGTAGTCCATTCAGTTTTTTACTGTCATATTCTTCTATCGGGAAATGTGTTTACTTAATAGTATATGTTTATTGTCATTACAAGAAATGATGTCGTTAAAATATCTCAACTAAAAGAGTACTTGTGTAGACATTTTCAAACCAAGGATCTTGAAAGTTTCAAATACCTTTTAACATTGAAGTAGCGCAATCAAAAGATGGAGTTGTAATCTTCTAAATGAAGTATGTTCTTGATATATTACAATAAACAGTCATGATTGATTGTAGACCGGTAGACAGTCCCATGGACCCAAACCAGAAATTAAGGATAGAAGAAGGTGAATTATTTTCCGATCTAGAGAGGTATAGGAGGCTGGTTGGAAAACTGATTTATCTCACTATTACAAGGCCAGATCTATCCTTTGCAGTTGGAGTGGTTAGTCAGTTAAGCTCCATGTGTTGACCATTGGAATGCTCTCATTCGCATTCTAAGATATCTAAAGAAGGCTCCCAGGCAAGGATTGTTATATGAAGATAAAGGAAGCATTCAGGTCTCTGGGTATTGTGATACAGATTGGGTAGGTTCACCTATTGATAGACAGTCTACTATAGAAGTGTTTTTCTGGGAGGAAACGTTTCATGGAAAAGTAAGAAACAAAATGTAGTAGCTCGATCAACCGCGGAATGACATCACCAACATGTGAACTTATATGGGTGAAACAATTCCTTCAAGAGGTTAAATTTTGTGACATCCATACTATGAAGATGTGTTGCGACAATCAAGCTGTTCTCCACATTGCATCAAATCTAATGTTTCACGAGAGGACTAAACATATAGAAATTGATTGTCATTTTGTTCGTGAAAAGTTGTTGACTAAAGAAATATGTACTGAGTTTATTGGGTCAAACAATCAACTCGTAGATGTATTGACCAAGTCATTAAGGGGTCTTCGGATTGAGTTTATTTGTTCCAAGCTTGGTACATACAATTCGTATGCTTCAGCTTGAGAGGGAGTGTTAAGATATTTATCCTATTTTATCATCATTATATTGTGTTAAGGGTTACCTTATTTATCATAATTATATTGCGTTAAAGGTTATCCTATTTATCATGATTATGTGTGTCTAAGATTACTCTATTTATCATGATTATATTGTGTCTAGAGTTACCTTATTTATCATATACTTTTGTATCAATTTATTTTTATAAATAGAAGATTATGAGAAGGATCAATCAAGCCCTTTAGAATTATTTTACAGATTAATTCTAAGCACTTACATGGAATAACGAAATGACATGTAAGAACCTTGATCTTGAGAAACATATAGCAGGTGATGACAAATCAAGAGGCTTGTGACTGTATCAAGAATGTAGATGGTGCGGAGAAAGCAGCTAAGAAATTAGTTAAAGAAGCAATATCTCTAGGAAGCTGTGATGATATTTCAAGCATAGTTATAATGTTCTAGCTTACGTGCTCCACAGTGCTCCTGCGTTTCATGAACTTTTGCCTTTGTCTCACTGTATATTATTTTAAATTTCTATAACTCAAGGAAATGTCTTTAAAATTTGTGAGGAATCATGAACGGCTGTTTAACTTTTGCCTTTGATGTTTCTTTATTTGCTCAATCATTCCCTTCACATTAGGCTAACCTGCTAAACTTATCAAAACTTTTACCCATCATCCTTCACAGAAAACCATGGTCCAACGATTTTTCACTTCTGTTTCTCTGAATTCTAGCTTTCAAATATGGTATCAAAGCTCTTGTGCACAGGTCACTTTCTCCCATACGATCCCTCCAGAAACTCAACGATGAAAAACGTCGACTCTATCAAAAACCAATTTTCACCAAAATTTAAAATTTCAATACCCACATGACTTAAAAATGGCAATTGCTTTGGTACTAATTTTATGTAAGACAAATAATAAAGCAAATGATAGTAGGCTTACCGTAAATTATCTTGTCATTTTGAAATCTGTCTGCCTTCTATGTCCTCTAGTCTGAGGGTAACTGCCAGCTTGTGGGCATCGAGACCTTCAACTTCTGCCATCGTTGCTACGTATGGCCCAAGTTTTCTGAGGCCTTCTTCTGTGAGAGATTGCACTGTTATGTATTTCAAGAAAGAATCCAATGAAACACCGCCATACATCCTTGCATAACCATAAGTGGGAAGGACATGATTTGTCCCACTTGCATAATCACCAACGCTCTCGGGTGTCCACGGCCCTAAAAATACAGACCCTGCAGAGGCAACAAACGGGCATGTAAATCTAGATCAGGAATCTAAAGATCAAGGAAAAAATATCAAAGTGCCTAATACATTATCAAAGTTACATCTACGTTGGCAGTGTTTTTAACAAAGAGGAAGATGTTTACAATTGGCACCAAGTTCAATTCTGAGCCATATGAGAGTGCAGATATAATATGTACGCTAGCAACAAAAGTCATCTCCGAAACCCCAATCATAAGAGCAACTAACGATATGACAAAGCCATACCTGCATTCTGAATAAAACTCTCCCACTTCTCTGCATCCTTCACATTGACAATTAGATGCTCAGGTGCATATAAGTTTGAGAAATTGATTGACTGCAACATGAAAAAGAAACACCAGGTTCTGAAACACCAGTAAAGACGTAATAAAGATGTTGATAAATTGTAACCAAACTAACGAGGATAGCATTTAAGTGAACATTATAAATTCAAGGACAACGAAGTTATGAATTATGGCATGTCAAGAGATAATGCTACAGCATTATATAGCACTGTGGTTCCCCTGTTATGAAAACAGGATTAAGCTTACAAAGTTGTGTCAACTACTGCAGCACATATATATATAAACATAGGCATAGATAAGCCTAACATCTCTGTTAATGCCTCCGAACAAATTGTTTTCTCTCTTGCTCTTCACTTTTAGTGGGACTGAGAATACATGGATGAACTTGGGCAACACTACTGACCTCAAGCATATCATATGCATGAACAATAAAACTGTGGGTCAGGGCTTTAGCAGCGAACTCTCCTCTTGGTAGACTCTTGCACTGCTTGCTGAGTTCCTCCTCTATAGCATTCAAATTCACGCCTTCACCAGCAATCACAAGCACAACCTGACTATCAGGGCCATGCTCAGCCTGAACATCGTACAGTAATTGCAGACGCATCAGCATTATATAGAAGGGACAAAAAGTTCTTAGGCCGCTTAATAATTACGAAATATATCTTGTTTAAGAGTAAACACTTGCCATAATTGATAAGTATAGAGTGTGCTTGTCTTTGTACCTAACCAAAAAAACATGTTTGTCTTTCCATATTTTTCACATTGTAAACCACGCGGTAATTAAGGAAGAAGACATGCAAATAAACAACATTTCAGATCATTTCAATTAAATAAACTCAAGTTCATATGGAGTAATTATCAATGAATGTAATAAAATATATAAACCTAAAAGATATAATGCCGATTTAGACCCCAAATGTCAAAATGATGGTGGAAAAAGCTATATTACAGTAGCGGTACGTATTTTAAAATAAATATCTATTTTTTCGTTTGGCGATATCACCTTGTAGTCTATTTTTTTCTTTTTGCGATATCATCTTGTAATCTATTTTTTCTTTGGCGATATCACTTTGTAGTCTATTTTTTCTTTTGGTGATATCACTCGGGACAAGTACGTTGATACAAAACACTATGAGATTGATACAAAACATATTTCTTATGAAAAGAAATCTTAACATATCTTCGTAATTGATATGACTTATGCTACAAGACTTGATGTTTGTTAAATCCAAGATCATGCATGCGAGATTTTGGGTAAAGAAGGCACTGCGGAAGAGCAAGATAACATTGTCCTCTGGATTCATGTTATATATGTAAATCAACCGACCTGTACCATGCTTGTACTACAGAAGAATTGCACCAGATTGGACCAGTTGTAGGCGAGAAGCTCTTTGTTCGAGTTGACTGTGTGATTGTGGTTTTATTTATGGCAACCGGAAACCTTTTCCTGAATTGAGAATGAGTAGAAGCTTGACAGGGGTTTATGGGATGGATGCGGGAAAGAACTCCCCTTTTGCAAAGCAAGGTTTCACCCTCTGATTACACTTTTTTTTTTAGGGATGGGATCTTCTGCCTAGATTAGATCTCTCACGGGATTCATCTGGCATTTCTGGATGGACTGGCATTGAGCATGTCATTCCGGACTTCGCTATTCTCACAGTCAGATCGGACATTGAAATCTGAAGTAAACTATCAAGACAGGACTGTCTTATCTATTTTATTTGCTGACAGTTGTATTCTCTCTCCTATTAGCTGTCAGTTGCAATATTGACTTTTTTGTCTTATCTTCTTTCTGAACATCTTACCTTCCTTGTCTTAGCGGTGCAGATCTTCTTTATGCTTTAAGTGGATCTTCCATGTGCCAATCAAAGAGAACGAAGTGCACTACACTTAGCTCTCTAGGTTAACGTCCAATCCTGTCCACCTAGCATCCCACCTTCCCCAAGTTTGAGTATTGGGCACCAGGTCTTTCGATGAGCTTACTAGAGGGAGAGAGATCGATTAGCCGTGAAGGGGCCCCTTGCCCACTCCCCTTCCCCCCATTTCCGGGGGCCTCGTCCTCTTCAGGTAGGAGAGACTACACCTTTCAAAAGGAGAAACTTAGAAAACAAAGAGAATCAAAAAGGCCATCATTAATGCGAACAAGGCAATAGCCTCGGTTAGAGCAAAGCCCAGGATTGCATATCCGAATAACTGTTTTGCCAATGATGGATTTCTTGCCACGGAATGAATTAATGAACTGAATACGTTTCCAATACCTACAGCAGCTCCCGCTGAAGCAATTGTAGCAGCTCCGGCACCCATTGATTTTGCACCTTCTAACATCTCGAATTGAGAAAGTCTCGTCACGCAAAGTGGACTTACCATTGCTATTAGAAACTAAAAGAAAAGGGTTGTTCTCCTAACTAAGATTCCTTTCCTAGCCTATTCAATGTGGTCATGTAATATAATTCAATGGGAAGAGGATAGAGTACCGAGTACGAGAGCCAGTTAGTTGCTAACCGGAAGAGAAGGGAATCGCAGAATTTCATCCCATTTGGTTTGGTTGCTAGCGAGTGAGGCGCAGATGGGCTTATGACCTCGAAGCTCCAGCTTACTTCGCTTCGGGGTTTAGCTATGAACCGTAACTTCAATCGATCGGTCTCGCCTGCCAGTAAGAAGCTTGACCGGGCAAATGCAGAATCATCATAGGTAAGAAGCACAACACCATGTTCCCTCTTTCCTGTCGCAACTAGTCCCCTTCTTCTGTGAGCTAGGTCCACGGTTGCTACTTCTCTCGTCTCTGGAAAAGGGAAAAAACGAAACTATATGGTCAGTCACTTCGGGCTACTTTTTTGGGATCGTGATACTCGGGCTTATGAATGGAAGGAAATCCCCTCTCCAAGTGTGTTACTCTTTAGTTAGGGTAAAATCCCGGCCTGGGGCCTTCGCGTCCGCCCTGTATTCTGCTTCAGCACTAGAACGAGCAACCAAACTCCGTTTTTGACTTTCAAAAGAAGTGACGAGATTTCAACCCACCAACTGAACCCTTTGCGGTAGCCGGTGTCGGCTAGCAAGTTTTGGTAACACAGGTATGGCTCCGTCCGAGGATCGGTTATTGCGTAGGTAGTGAGTAGATGAATTGACGGTCCGGCCCTCAGCGAGGAGCGACTCATTGGAGCTTCGTTCACGTCAGGGTCCGGGGTAGGCGTTTCTTTTCATCGATATTGGGTTGGTGGTCCGTCAGGAAAGCCGGGTGTGGCGATCCGATCAACGAAAATCAATCCTGAAATAACATAGATAACAATAGAAATCGTTCAGTAAGTACGCTAATCTTTACAGTTTTTGGAGAAAGCGTCTGTTCACTGGCCCTTTGAATGGAATCTGGAGATGTAGTTGCGTGTAGTTCACTTTTTTATTCGAGATTGGCTTGGTCTTCAGGCAGTCTCCTATATCAAAGAAAATAGTAAGAGAAAGAAGAAGCAAGGCCCTTAGACTTAAGTATAAGGAAGGGTGAGTACCCCCATAGGGCTCTGTTATATCATTTGAATTACTCAAAAATATAACTTTTTTGAGTTCATATTATGTCGGAATTAAACTTCGTATAATTCCTAACCAAAGGAGACATTCTCTTTATTGGCTTTTCCTGTGTATCCAGGGGCTATTCCTACTATATATCTTTCTAGCCTTGTATATGCATCGTAAAGATCGAAAAGAACTGGAAAGGATTGCATTTGAGAAAGAAGGGGTGGATATCTATTTCAAATATTCTTGGAGGGGCGTAGAACTCAATATACGGCACCGTCATGGAAGCCAGCCCCCTTGTAAGGATCAACCTCATGGGTAAGGATAAGGTGACGAGACTTTCTCAATTCGAGANTGAGATCACCCAACACAGGGTCCCAATGGATAGTCCACCTCTCCAAGACAATGGTGAATCTTCTACTTCAGATTCTTCTTCCTCGTCACCTCCTCCCACGCCTCTTAATGAAAATGATTCAACATGGCCTATTATTCTCAGAAAAGGTATTCGTTCCACTCGAAACTTTCATCCCATTTATAATTTTTTAAGCTATCATCGATTATCGCCTTCCTATTTTTCTCTTTTATCCTTAGTGTCCTCTGTTGTTATACTCAAGAATGTGAAAGAAGCACTTGATCATCTTGGATGGCAACAAGCTATAATTGCAGAAATGCAGGCTCTTGCACAGTAATACTTGGGAGCTAGTGTCCCTTTCCCCAGGCAAAAAGGCGGTTGGTTGTTGATGGGTGTATGCAGTTAAAGTCGGTCCTGATAGTGAAATTGATCGGCTCAAAGCTCGGCTTGTTGCAAAAGGTTACACTCAGGTTTATGGTCTTGATTATTGTGACACCTTCTCTCCTGTAGCCAAGATGACTACTATTCGCCTCTTCTCAGCCATTCGTCATTGGACACTTCATCAATTGGATATCAAGAATGTCTTTTTACATGGTGATCTTGAGGAAAAAGTTTATATGGAGCAACCTCCTGGGTTTATTGCTCAAGGGAGTCCGGTATGGTATGCAAATTGCATCGATCTCTATATGGCCTCAAGCAATCCTCACGTGCTTGGTTTGGAAAGTTTAGCTCCATTGTTCAAAAATTTGAGCTAAAACGTAGTGAAGTAGTCCATTCAGTTTTTTACTGTCATATTCTTCTATCGGGAAATGTGTTTACTTAATAGTATATGTTTATTGTCATTACAAGAAATGATGTCGTTAAAATATCTCAACTAAAAGAGTACTTGTGTAGACATTTTCAAACCAAGGATCTTGAAAGTTTCAAATACCTTTTAACATTGAAGTAGCGCAATCAAAAGATGGAGTTGTAATCTTCTAAATGAAGTATGTTCTTGATATATTACAATAAACAGTCATGATTGATTGTAGACCGGTAGACAGTCCCATGGACCCAAACCAGAAATTAAGGATAGAAGAAGGTGAATTATTTTCCGATCTAGAGAGGTATAGGAGGCTGGTTGGAAAACTGATTTATCTCACTATTACAAGGCCAGATCTATCCTTTGCAGTTGGAGTGGTTAGTCAGTTAAGCTCCATGTGTTGACCATTGGAATGCTCTCATTCGCATTCTAAGATATCTAAAGAAGGCTCCCAGGCAAGGATTGTTATATGAAGATAAAGGAAGCATTCAGGTCTCTGGGTATTGTGATACAGATTGGGTAGGTTCACCTATTGATAGACAGTCTACTATAGAAGTGTTTTTCTGGGAGGAAACGTTTCATGGAAAAGTAAGAAACAAAATGTAGTAGCTCGATCAACCGCGGAATGACATCACCAACATGTGAACTTATATGGGTGAAACAATTCCTTCAAGAGGTTAAATTTTGTGACATCCATACTATGAAGATGTGTTGCGACAATCAAGCTGTTCTCCACATTGCATCAAATCTAATGTTTCACGAGAGGACTAAACATATAGAAATTGATTGTCATTTTGTTCGTGAAAAGTTGTTGACTAAAGAAATATGTACTGAGTTTATTGGGTCAAACAATCAACTCGTAGATGTATTGACCAAGTCATTAAGGGGTCTTCGGATTGAGTTTATTTGTTCCAAGCTTGGTACATACAATTCGTATGCTTCAGCTTGAGAGGGAGTGTTAAGATATTTATCCTATTTTATCATCATTATATTGTGTTAAGGGTTACCTTATTTATCATAATTATATTGCGTTAAAGGTTATCCTATTTATCATGATTATGTGTGTCTAAGATTACTCTATTTATCATGATTATATTGTGTCTAGAGTTACCTTATTTATCATATACTTTTGTATCAATTTATTTTTATAAATAGAAGATTATGAGAAGGATCAATCAAGCCCTTTAGAATTATTTTACAGATTAATTCTAAGCACTTACATGGAATAACGAAATGACATGTAAGAACCTTGATCTTGAGAAACATATAGCAGGTGATGACAAATCAAGAGGCTTGTGACTGTATCAAGAATGTAGATGGTGCGGAGAAAGCAGCTAAGAAATTAGTTAAAGAAGCAATATCTCTAGGAAGCTGTGATGATATTTCAAGCATAGTTATAATGTTCTAGCTTACGTGCTCCACAGTGCTCCTGCGTTTCATGAACTTTTGCCTTTGTCTCACTGTATATTATTTTAAATTTCTATAACTCAAGGAAATGTCTTTAAAATTTGTGAGGAATCATGAACGGCTGTTTAACTTTTGCCTTTGATGTTTCTTTATTTGCTCAATCATTCCCTTCACATTAGGCTAACCTGCTAAACTTATCAAAACTTTTACCCATCATCCTTCACAGAAAACCATGGTCCAACGATTTTTCACTTCTGTTTCTCTGAATTCTAGCTTTCAAATATGGTATCAAAGCTCTTGTGCACAGGTCACTTTCTCCCATACGATCCCTCCAGAAACTCAACGATGAAAAACGTCGACTCTATCAAAAACCAATTTTCACCAAAATTTAAAATTTCAATACCCACATGACTTAAAAATGGCAATTGCTTTGGTACTAATTTTATGTAAGACAAATAATAAAGCAAATGATAGTAGGCTTACCGTAAATTATCTTGTCATTTTGAAATCTGTCTGCCTTCTATGTCCTCTAGTCTGAGGGTAACTGCCAGCTTGTGGGCATCGAGACCTTCAACTTCTGCCATCGTTGCTACGTATGGCCCAAGTTTTCTGAGGCCTTCTTCTGTGAGAGATTGCACTGTTATGTATTTCAAGAAAGAATCCAATGAAACACCGCCATACATCCTTGCATAACCATAAGTGGGAAGGACATGATTTGTCCCACTTGCATAATCACCAACGCTCTCGGGTGTCCACGGCCCTAAAAATACAGACCCTGCAGAGGCAACAAACGGGCATGTAAATCTAGATCAGGAATCTAAAGATCAAGGAAAAAATATCAAAGTGCCTAATACATTATCAAAGTTACATCTACGTTGGCAGTGTTTTTAACAAAGAGGAAGATGTTTACAATTGGCACCAAGTTCAATTCTGAGCCATATGAGAGTGCAGATATAATATGTACGCTAGCAACAAAAGTCATCTCCGAAACCCCAATCATAAGAGCAACTAACGATATGACAAAGCCATACCTGCATTCTGAATAAAACTCTCCCACTTCTCTGCATCCTTCACATTGACAATTAGATGCTCAGGTGCATATAAGTTTGAGAAATTGATTGACTGCAACATGAAAAAGAAACACCAGGTTCTGAAACACCAGTAAAGACGTAATAAAGATGTTGATAAATTGTAACCAAACTAACGAGGATAGCATTTAAGTGAACATTATAAATTCAAGGACAACGAAGTTATGAATTATGGCATGTCAAGAGATAATGCTACAGCATTATATAGCACTGTGGTTCCCCTGTTATGAAAACAGGATTAAGCTTACAAAGTTGTGTCAACTACTGCAGCACATATATATATAAACATAGGCATAGATAAGCCTAACATCTCTGTTAATGCCTCCGAACAAATTGTTTTCTCTCTTGCTCTTCACTTTTAGTGGGACTGAGAATACATGGATGAACTTGGGCAACACTACTGACCTCAAGCATATCATATGCATGAACAATAAAACTGTGGGTCAGGGCTTTAGCAGCGAACTCTCCTCTTGGTAGACTCTTGCACTGCTTGCTGAGTTCCTCCTCTATAGCATTCAAATTCACGCCTTCACCAGCAATCACAAGCACAACCTGACTATCAGGGCCATGCTCAGCCTGAACATCGTACAGTAATTGCAGACGCATCAGCATTATATAGAAGGGACAAAAAGTTCTTAGGCCGCTTAATAATTACGAAATATATCTTGTTTAAGAGTAAACACTTGCCATAATTGATAAGTATAGAGTGTGCTTGTCTTTGTACCTAACCAAAAAAACATGTTTGTCTTTCCATATTTTTCACATTGTAAACCACGCGGTAATTAAGGAAGAAGACATGCAAATAAACAACATTTCAGATCATTTCAATTAAATAAACTCAAGTTCATATGGAGTAATTATCAATGAATGTAATAAAATATATAAACCTAAAAGATATAATGCCGATTTAGACCCCAAATGTCAAAATGATGGTGGAAAAAGCTATATTACAGTAGCGGTACGTATTTTAAAATAAATATCTATTTTTTCGTTTGGCGATATCACCTTGTAGTCTATTTTTTTCTTTTTGCGATATCATCTTGTAATCTATTTTTTCTTTGGCGATATCACTTTGTAGTCTATTTTTTCTTTTGGTGATATCACTCGGGACAAGTACGTTGATACAAAACACTATGAGATTGATACAAAACATATTTCTTATGAAAAGAAATCTTAACATATCTTCGTAATTGATATGACTTATGCTACAAGACTTGATGTTTGTTAAATCCAAGATCATGCATGCGAGATTTTGGGTAAAGAAGGCACTGCGGAAGAGCAAGATAACATTGTCCTCTGGATTCATGTTATATATGTAAATCAACCGACCTGTACCATGCTTGTACTACAGAAGAATTGCACCAGATTGGACCAGTTGTAGGCGAGAAGCTCTTTGTTCGAGTTGACTGTGTGATTGTGGTTTTATTTATGGCAACCGGAAACCTTTTCCTGAATTGAGAATGAGTAGAAGCTTGACAGGGGTTTATGGGATGGATGCGGGAAAGAACTCCCCTTTTGCAAAGCAAGGTTTCACCCTCTGATTACACTTTTTTTTTTAGGGATGGGATCTTCTGCCTAGATTAGATCTATCTCGCATGCATGATAATGAGTCATCCACACTTATCAAAATCGAAGAAAGTCGATCTTGGATTTAACAAACATCAAGTCTTGTAGCATAAGTCATATCAATTAGGGTAAAGAAGGCACTGCGGAAGAGCAAGATAACATTGTCCTCTGGATTCATGTTATATATGTAAATCAGCCGACCTTTACCATGCTTGTACTACAGAAGAATTGCACCAGATGTTAAAGAGCAATTTAACGACTTAGTTAATCAATTAAAAGAGATTAGACTAAATCAATTAAAAGAGATTAGACTAAAAGGACGGTTTAAACAAGTACAGATTATGTTAGAGAGTGGAAAGTGTATGAAAGGAGGAGAAAACATTAATTACCTAACTGTTTAGCAGTTAGGCAGGGCGGGAAGTGTAACTGTGTATATAAGGTAGAGTTTGGTGTTGTAGAGGAGTGTTGAGAGTTTTCATTTGTTAGTTGCAGGACACATTGTCCTGGGAGGGGGATTAGGCTCCCTAGTTACGGGCTCTACATGATTGTTGGAGACATTTCAATACAGATACTATTCTTTTTCCTATACTCATACTTGTGATTACTGTGTGTGAGTGTGTCTTGAGTAGGTTTCTTTTCCAAGAAACCTAACAGATTATAAGTTCAAGGAGGGAGAAAGAGAGATTTGTCCAACTCCATGAGAAGCAATTTTGGAATCAATGGTTGCGATAAAGTGAGGAAATTTAGATGAGGAATTAGAAGAGAACAAGGAATTATTTCCAAAGATATGGTTAATGTTAGAAATACCTGAATCAATTATCTATAGACTGACTTTCACAGATTAAGAAATGCAAGTTGGTAGAAAATTAGGTATAGGATTAATCTCCCTTGTGTCTAAAATACACATAGGAAAATATATTTATAATGAAGAATGATAAAAGTATATATGGCAACCAAACATAAATATGATAAATAGTACCAATATAAAAAGTCTACTTTCCCTTAATTAATATAAACCGCAATATATCTAACTGTCTATTTAGGAGATGCTAATTTATTGGAAAAATAAGAGGTGTTGAATATCATTTGCATAGACACTATAAGTCTTCTTCCAAAAGGAGTTACATGTTTTAAAGGTTCAAAGGGTCCCCAATAGTGGAAGACTGTCGGGCTGGGAGAAGGCAACAGGAGATGCGGCTCTGTTGCGGTCACTCGAGGGCAGCATGAAACCACATGCCACACATCACACGCCGGTGACTAGGCCACGTAAAAAAGCTGTGCATGACCGTGGGTGTAGTGGATTCTGCCTTCACGACCACCACAATTTTGTATTGAGGAGGTGATCCAAATCTGGTAGTAGCTGGAGAAAGTGGCATTGGCCTCCAGCTGCTGGAGACATGCTTTGATACCAACTTTAGTGGAAGTGTCTTAGAGAAAAATGCTTCATCCATATGTTAAATCTAAAGATAAGTACCATATGGCTGACAGAAAACACCTAGTACCCTACATGATTGACAGCCACAGCCAAAACAGCTTTTACAGAATAATCTAGAAGACAAAAGCAAGTCTTTTTTCTAACAGACATCACGATTCATACTGAATTGTGTTTTGGAATAATTAACATCATAATACAGAGAAAAAACTTCTAGAAATTAGAATTAGTTATACCTAAATAAGTTACGATAGAGCATGAGATACCTTGCTAAAAGAGTAAAAAAGAAAAATAATCAATTCTTACTGAGTGTAGATAGCCTTTCATATATCATATAGAAAATTTTAGAACTAACTAAACCTGAGAAAGCAAATCGGCAGCTACATGACGAGGAATCGCATGCTTGTCAGCAATAACTAAAACTTCGGATGGACCGGCTGGCATGTCAATTGAAACCATGGCTTCACTGTTCTGCAGAAGATTTTGAGCAGTAATGCAAAGCAGGAAGAACTATAAGATCTGAAGAGTAAAGCACAAAATATAATAGAGAGAAACAACGCTTCACAGCTCACTTGCAGAATCATTTTTGCAGCTGTGACATATTGGTTTCCTGGGCCAAAAATCTTCTCAACCTACAAAAGCATTATCACAAAAACACAAAATAAGAAATCATGAAAAAAAAAATAGAATTATGAAGTATTTAAATTTTTCGGTCACAACATAAATGGAGAAATTTCAAATAATGTTCTGGACCTTTTACAAACTACAAAGTACATTTTATAGATCCTATAAATCTTGAATATGAGCAAATTCTAACATAATACCACAGTTGGTTATAGCGTTTTCAAACAAACCAACTTTTTTTCTCTTTCAGAAACTACTTGAAAATACTACTATGATTCTGTTGATTTTCTTATATCCTTTTGCTATTCAACAATCTAAAAGTTCCTTTTTTGTTTCATGTTACGTTTTCTTCTGTTTAAAATAAAGAATGTAAAATGCTTTCTGGTATGCAAAAAAAAAATAATGGTTTGCGGCACTAAGATTAAACTAGGTTCTTTATAGGTCTGATAAAATTGTAAATACCCTCTCTCTCATACTACTCATTCTATATACAATTCAATAATTAAAGAATACATTAAGACGCTCAACCTACCAGAGGTAGTGGGGGAAAATATACAAACTGGATCAGAAAATGAAAGAAATATTTTTTATTACTTGCACGGAAACTGAATTATAGGTTTTCGAGACATCTGAGTCAATTACGATACCCCCTTCCTAACCCAGCCCCCATTTTATAATACCCACCTGATCAACAACCAACTTACTGTATTAGCTATTAGTTATTTCTGTTACAATTATAAATGGTCTCATCACTTGTGTCCCTCCTATTTTGCTTACTGTAGACACTCCTAACAGGAGGTCTCAGCTCCTTATCAGATATAAAAAAAGTTAAGTAAATCAAGTCCACATACTATAACATGCAATAGTAAGAAAAGAAATGAGCTCAATCTAATAGCTATAAACTATAAATGAACGTAAATTTCAACAATAAAACAAATGAAATTATAATGAGTAAAACGGATCTACCTTGGGACAAGTTTCAGTTCCCCAAGCCATGGCAGATATGGCCTATAGTGTCAAACAATGTCAAATTAATGATTGTTTAATCATTAATACAAACACACAAACATAAAATTAAATTAAACATAAGGATATCAACTTCAAACTATTGAAACAGATAAGACAAGGATGAAATTTTATCATGCTTCAAACCTGAGCTCCGCCAGCTTTGAGGATGTGAGTAACCCCTGCCTTCTTTGCACAATACACTACCTCCTGCAGAGAAAAACATTAGTCCGAAAAGATACTACCCTCAAATATGTTTTTATACAATAAAGATGAGTACCTTGCATATAGTGCCATCCTGAGCTGGAGGAGTAGCAAGGACGACAGTTTTACATCCAGCAATCTGAGCAGGCTGCACATAAATAAAACAGTCAAAGATTAATAAAATCTGATAAGAAGTTGATGATGATTATCAACAATCCCGATGCCACTATAGGATGGAGAGCAATACACAAACTAATAAGAAATAAATTCAACTTACAACTGAAAGCATCAGGGCTGTTGAAGGTAGCACAGCAGTTCCCCCTGGAACATAAAGGCCCACAGTATTAATACTTCTTGAAACTCGCTTGCATTGGACTCCCTGACATTTTCAGAAATCTCAAAAGACTAACATAAGACAGACACGAAGGGAAGATAATGAAAAGAAAATAACTTGTCATCAGCAGAGAATAGATAGTAAAAACCAATCCAGAGAAGGGATGCATATACAATACAACCAAAAGGAATAGTAAAAATGCTTAATTGCAATTTTAGCTTCTCAGTCGTGCAATTTTGGTCCCCCTATGTCCTATTGCACCAATTGAGTCCTTCAAATATTGCACTTGTGTCATATTTTAATCTGGTCCCTTCGTCGGTTTTCTATTTAAAATTTAAAAGATTTTGCTGAGATAACATTGAATGTGACGTGCAGCTAATATGATGTCTAAAACATTTAGTGATATGACTTAATTTCACTTCTAGGCCTTCATGATTGTGGTCTAAGAAGGGATAAAAGTTGCAATTGAATCACGATAGCATATGTTCATGAAACATGTTAACTGTCATGTTAACGACAAACTAACATAGAGACTAAAATCGTATAATTATGATACCCCAAAGATTTAATTTGCACGATTGGAACTAGGTGGACTAGAACCTATAAAGCTCGGAGGCTATCACTGGAAACCGTTTTCCTGCTTCCAACACACGCCTTTGACCCAGAAACACAATAGATGCGTGCAGAACAGAGTGAAGGACACCTTAGGCGGGGCATGGCCCACTCCTTGGATGTGTTGGAAGTGAGGAGGTGTAAAACGCGCTGGAAGTGATGCCACGCATCCTCGAAAATGTGGTAGTGGTGGGTCAGTGTCAGCACATTTCTCAAGGTATCAGTCTCTAGAGGTCCCAACTTCTGTTGTGGACCTAGCCTGAGACAAGACTGTGCAGCGGCAGGAAGCAGGTGGTGACGGTGGCTAAGAACAAAAACAGAGGAAACTTATTCTATTTCTAACCGTGGAATATATTAGAGCCGTGTTTTATATTACTTTAGTTGTATCGTGTGTCCGCGCTTCTTATGGACTAGAACAGTCGAGTCGAATTATAATACTTGAAAAACCAAAATTATAATTAACTCTATATAATTATAACTAGTTCAATTAAGTGTAGTAAAGTAAGTAAAAGGTATTTTATTTTATTAGAGCTCGAATTATCTACTGGCAAGATAATCCTACAAGAACCAACTCAAAAAGAAGTTTCAGAAAAGAAGCCACACCCAGGTCCACTAATGAAACGTGAATACGTTAAGAATAAGATTTTATCGTACTTTGATGTTCTCAACATTTGTTTCAGGAGTCCTCTGAGCAGCATGAAAGGCATATATATTGCTGTAGGCGATATCGAAAGCTTCCTTAACATGCGCATCAAGCTACAATGCAATGCAGAAAGTCAAAATTGAATAACTTGAATACTTCAAACAAATAACGGAACGGTAATACGAATAATCAAAAAAAAAAAATACCAGTGGATCTGGAAGGTCGGCGACAAGTTGAACAATGTCATCCAATTGAACATTGTCGAATTTCAAAGTATATCTACACAAATACGGAAAAAATTGTGAGGTTGAAAATGATCGTAACGAGAGTGACAAAGGGGAATGAAAAGAGCAAAGAAGAAAGAAGCACGAACTCACTCTTTGACAGCAGCATCGCCTCTTTGTCGAACATCGTCAAGAATGGGGTTGACCTGCAAAGAGAAGTGTGAGAGATTGAAAACGACGGTGATAAAGAGGGAAAGAGTGAACGGACGGAGAGGGGCAGACCAGAGAGAAAACGGAAGAGAAATCGATACGAGGACGAGCAATTAGGCTGCGAAGCTCAGCATCGCCTAGTTCCGACAATCTATACGACTTCATAATAACCCACTCAAGTAAGATCAGTGACCAACCAACACAACGCAAACCAAACCCTTCTTCTCTTATATTTACTCGCTCTTGCCTAGTTTATTTTCAAACTTCTCTCTTCCCTTCTCGTGCGCTCATTCCACGTGATAAAGTGACATATTCGAACATAAACCAACACTAACGCGCTACTTTTTGTCGTTTTTATCTCCCGTTGAATTGTTTGAGTAAGTAATTGTCTCGCCCTAAACTAAGAATAATTTATGTTTGTTTCAATTTTATTTTTACAATTCTATTAATTAAAATATTTTTATATATTACACTTTATATATAATTTACGAATATTTACAATTTTTTTTCTTTTCATTATTCTCCTTTAATTCAAATAATTACATTTCACTTTTTTTTTCTTCTCTTTCGTTATTTTTCACTCTCTTAAATTCATCTTTCTTTTATTTGAAAAATTATCTTTTCACATTGTGTTATTTTATTCTAATAGTCATATTTCATTCCCAAAATATTAAAGAATTAAAATATAGATGAAAATATGGACAATTTAAAAAAAAAAGAAATGATTAAAGTATGAAAAGTAAAATATTAAAATCTATCACAACTAGAGCTCCACATGGTATTCTAATTCGAAGTTCTTTATTCTTCATGGAACATAGGTAATCGATGCAATATACACTAAAACGAAATGCAATGGATGAAAATATATCAACTATCCTTTTTTTCCTAGTCAGTACCCAACTACATAAACCTTTCAATTCACCTAGTCTTTTCCAAGCATCATTTCTACCTTGCTACTCTGCTTTCAAAATCACCAGCAATCTGATTACCTGAATAAAATAACTCTACTTATCTCACTATAGTTTTCAAACACCAAATAGTTTATTCCTTTCTACTATTCCATTCCCATATAACATTATAATGGTGCTCGTCAGCATGCTTCAGTACATCATCTTCAAGTTCCCAATCCCTTTTAAACACGGCAATCTGCGAAGCATAGCCGGGCTCAACATCAGCAGAACCACCAACACCACTAAACTCCACCTTGTAATTGTGCCGTGTAGATAAGTCAGATGCCCATTGTCTGAACTGTGCTCTGGTCCACTCAAATTTGTGGTCGTGATTACGAAACTTGCATGATTGTAAGAGGGTTTTATCGTCTAATTCCTCTTGTTCTTGGGCTGGAGGATTCGATTTCTGGAGTACTACATTGTATTCAAAATTTGGAGTGGAAACAATGAGAATCCTTGGCCGAAAAAAACTTAATGCCACGTCCCCAAATAGACAAGCTTGATCTTCTTCCATATGTTCAATTACCTGCATTGTATCATCGATTCATATAAGTTGATTCATAGGTCATAGTAGTGCTGCATAAAAGAAAACTATGTAACCACAGGACATAGGAACATGAAAGTGATAGCATAATACAAGACCAATTCAACTAATGAATATAAACTACGAAGTATATTTGCCGTGAACTGGTGCAGGAAGTAAAAAATAGCTATACAAGTAAAATTATTACTAGTTATGACAATGCAGTAGTTTAAGAATGAACTTGAAAAAAAATACAAAGAAATTATAATGAAATTGAGAGAGTATATTCTGCTCCTTAGGTTTTCATATTTATAGTAGTTTGAGATACATTAGATACAATGGATGAGAAGAGAACTCTAGAAGATGTTCCTAGGAACTAGGTCTAGCACAAAGCATGCTCCTAGGGACTAGGTTCAGCACAAAGTACAATAAATCCTATTTAAGACTGTACATTCTAACAAATGATAAAGATCACTGGCAGCATTACACCAGGCTAAGGTGCTTGAAGACAAAATGTGAACATTGACAAGTCATAAAGAAAGCATACGGCACAATGCAATTTCACAAATTAAACCCTAAGTTATTGATGGCAAACTCGTTTATCAGAGAGCCAACATATTCTAAACTCAAGAATAATAAAATCATATATTATTGACTTGAAGAAAGAATAGAAATGACGTCTAACATGACGACAGCCATGTCAAAACGAAGTTAACAAGGGCAGAACAAAATAAACAACGGATAATGAAATTTACCTCTAAACAAGTGCCGATATCAAATCCTTGCAACTGAGAGCCAAAATTCGTAATTGAACCTTCATAAAGAATTACTGATTGTACGCCTGTCCATAGCCCACCAGCATCTGAATTTGTAGATAATTTTGAATTAAGCACCTGCAAAATATGTGCACACAAAACAAAGCAGCTTTACTACCAAAGTAATATTTTTACAACAAAGTATTTTTTTCACTAAGCGGGCTGGTTCGAACGGACAAAACAATTTCATTATGAAAATTTCCGTATTGTATAGAATACTAGTCAGCTGTCAATTTAATCAAAGATATCATCCTCCAATATTAAAAAATTCCCTCAACTGAAAAAAACACACCTTCAACAAAAGAAATAATGAAAGTGTTTACCTAGATATTTTCTATGATAACGGACACTATTATGTACATAGCAAGAATTTCCTAACATCAACTAATGAACAAACAAAAGACTGGCACACATAATGGACAAAATAAAAGCCTTTTCCATATTATGCATAAGCTCGGTACACATCCCTTCGGCATACTTCTAAGATCTATCTTCTTCTTATGCATAAGCTCGGTACACAAGGAAGAGGAGGAGGCAGAAGCAACCGAGGAGGACGTGGTGGTCGTAGTATGCATCCTCAATGCACATATTGTAAGATTTTAAGCCTAACTCAACCTCCCAAAACCGGCTTTTAGGGTGAGGTTTGCACCTACTTATATACACTGAATTGGCTTATTTCTAATCGATGTGGGACTTCCAACACACCCCCTCATGCCGAGGTATATACATCTCGACATGGGTGGTCTGATAGCGGCGCGGGTGGAACAATATGCCCAGCAAACAACAAATTATCGCTAGGATAGGTTGTAACTATGGCTCTGATACCATGTTAGAAATAGACTTTAAGCTTAACTCAATTCCATAAAACCGGCTTTTAGGGTGAGGTTTGCACCCACTTATATATACTGAATTGGTCTTATCTCTAGTCGATGTGAGACTTCCAACAAATTCTAACAAATAAAAACTTTGTTAAATGAAAGTGAATATAATGTGACCTTGGCAGCACGGGTAAGACCCTTCTGTGAAATATCAACACCCGCCATTTTCTCCAAACACGTTGGATAATTTAACAAAGCTTCCAACAAGCTTCCAGATCCACATCCAAAATCAATCTGACATGAAGGAGAGTGTCAAATTAATAATTTAGGTTAACCAAAGAAGATCAAAGATGAAACAGTTTGTATACCAACGTAGTAGCATGAGATTCTAGAATTTGTTGCACTCCAAATTCGACCCTTTGCTTCGAAAGAGGAGGGCTGAAAAGAGCCTGCTCCATTCTTTCTTCTGGAGGTTCAGCAACCTTGATCAAACTTATTTCATATTCTACACAACAGTCTTCTGAAAAATAAAATATAAAGCCATGACAGTCAGCAATTTAACCCCAAACTGAACCAGGGAAGGGGTGAGAATTGAGAGAAAACAACTCACTAGATGATAACAACGACAACATTTTGATTGATTCACCAGCTGAAGCAAAAATCAAATCAGAAGAGAGGAAGTTTGTAGAGAAGTAAGCGTACTGGCCAACAGACATCTGCATCACAACCTCCTCAATGTATGAAACTGTAGCACCGACTCCCACTTCAAATTCAAACTCATCACATACTTCAATAACTTCTTTGACATTCTGACTCTCCACAGCCAAAGACACTGAATACCTTATACAAGGTAAATATCCATTGCATGGACAGACACCAGAATATGGTCCTTCTATCTTTAAAGACTGCACCATATTCCCCAGCATGTCAAATGATGAATTCATATAGGTTGATTCAACTATATTATTGCATTGAATTGCATTAAGCTGACCATTGTGTGTTGATTGACCTGCTAAAATCTCACTGATAATGTTGTTGGAATAAATCTGGATATTGAAGTCGTCTGCAGTCTCACAAAGCCGCTCAAAAGTAACAATCCTACTCTTAAACCACATATTCAGCCATGATAAAACTTTCAATGAAGCGTTCTGAATAGCGTCATTCTGCTTTTTATAACCATCCTTTGGAGAACACAAAATTATTAAATCTCCACACCTAGAAAGTAATTTTATTTCACATTTAAACAACTCTGAATCTGAATGCATTGAACTTGTTACACAGACCCCATTGATATGCTCAATCACGTTGTCACCAGATTCTGCAACCTTCAAACATGATCCTGATAATAATGACGATGTTTTGAAAGGATGAAATGAAAAGAGAGGTTCGGACAAACGGTGCTGGCGGCAAAACATACAAAGTATATCCCTGGGAAGAGAACCCCTCCAGTTTGCTCTTGTTGTGAATTTTGATGGCAACTCAGATGCAAGTATTGCCTCCCTGGATAATTTGTAAATGCCACCTGGTGTCTTCCCTAGAAGCATCCTGTGATGGAAATCTAACCATCCGTAAATGATGCAAACTAAAACAATTCTACAGACATAGAGGTCGAAAATTTTCATTGGCTATTGCCGATAAAAGACAAAATTACAAGTTGATGTTCATCAAAATAAATATTTGACAAATGAATTCATGGGACAAATGACTCAGACTCAAAATGAGTAACACATGACATACGAAACTGAAGATGTTAGGCATCCATACACCATTCTTAGTTGCGTAGCTAGTTTATTGAGCTGGAGTAATTTAAATATGTTATGTTGCTTATAAATAAGAGGCGCTAGAGAGAAATATCAGTCATCTGAGAAAAGAGTGGGGAGAAAACAGGGTCTATCCAATATCCTAAATATTCAATAAAATTCTTTTACAACCCCTGGTTCAGTTCTATCAGAAGAGCAGGAAGACTTGAGTTTAAGAATAATAGACTCTTTCATATAGTCCAATTGCAAACATTCAATTTGCAGAGACATAGATTCATGAGCAAAAGAATACTTTGGTAGGCCACTATGAAACAGCAAAAGTGCATGAGATAATAACATCTTTTTTTTAATCATAACTTGTAATTTACTCTGAAAGGCAATTTAAGTTTGACAACTATGCAATAAACAATTCAATAAATCACTTGAATTTAAAGAGACCTGTAATATAACCGAACCGATACATCCTCATAGAAAATATCTCTAGATTTTCGTGTATATCCAATCGATGCTAATATTGCATCTCCAGCTATATCTTGCCCAGCAAAGTAACTTGCCCTTACATTCAGAGATCCCATTAAATAAAGGGTTTCTTTTCCGATTGCAAATTTAGAAGACAGATCTAGTAGATATGGTTTTGGAGCAGTAAAGAACAGTCTTGTCTCAGAAGAAGCTTTACCTAAATTCCTGTAGAGAACAAGAAGTCAAGAATAAGTTATCAATGAAACTCAGAAACTTTGCTGTAATGTCATCAATCACCATACCTTGAAATCATAACATTGGCAGCATCTTCTAAACCAAGTTCATTTGCAATGACATCAAGGTAGTATTCTCTTAAAGAAATACGAAGAGTAACTTGTTCAATAGATTGTTCCACTGAACTAGGAATGCGTATCGCAGCAACCTGAATGCATTCTAGTGAATCATGTTCCTTCATCAATGACTCTACAATATCTTGTGGATACGGAGTCAGCCTTCTAATACAGAGATGTTGTTCAGAAGTAGCAAGATACTGATACAAGTTTGCAGTGGCACTCTTTATGTATGAAATAACCAAAAATGGGTTGGTTTCCACATCAGGATTAATACATTTACACAAGCTGAGAAGCTTTGCATCATACACAGCAAGGACAGAAATAGGAATTGAACCGCAAAGATCACCTTTACTCCGCAAAGTTGCTCGAATGTGACCACTAAGAGGATGATCACATAAAAGAAACTGTAGATGTACCAAATGGAAAAGAAAATTGCGTATCAGACTGATTTAAAATTCACTAATAGATAATGTCAGAGCAGCATGCCATAAAAAAATTAAATTTCGTTTTGAGTAATTTGTAACCATGATATAGCTGCCAAAGATAATTGTAAACTCTTTACTAAAATTAAATTATAGAAGAACAAGACAAAAAAGTGAGACATCATTTTTTCATACAATATATTATACTTTGCTGGCTTTTCAACTCAATTGTCTAAGACATACAAACATGTCATCTTACATCTCTGAACTAACAAAATAAATTTTTAATAGCAAACCTAATTGGGAGGGTAAGACACATATCTAATGGGTGTTAGGGATGTGTTCATATCAGAAATGTGTTTAACACTACAACACTTCAAAGAGGAGTGTCCTTGCTTCATGACCTAATCTACAAAGTTAAAATGCCTTACCTACCTTTTCGGAAAATATGAAGTCGATTCGAGCTACTAAACTTTCTTGTGCTCCTTGTGGAGTGGGATCAATGGTCTCTATACATATGCCAAGCTGCGTAGTATTATGGAAGTTAAAATGACATAATCCTTATGACAATAAACACTTGAATAAAAGATATAATAACAGTATAAATCCAGTTCCAATGTAGCAGAAATAAATATAAGAAAATATCACAATAATACCATACCACAATGTACACATGCAAAACATACTGTAGTAATACATTCGTTGTTGGGCAAAAAGATACATGCATATCCATAACATTTTTGAGAAATTATATTTAGTTTGAAACGTTTAGTGTATACTTACTCAGATGTATTAGCACCTCACATACTTGTGTCTATACTGTATGTTTTTCTTTCTCTTTCTGTTTGCTTAAGTATAAGTAATCAGTGGATAGCTGGATCTTGATATGTTAACATCTTTTAGTGACAGCTGCATCTTAATCAGTCTGTTATGAAGCTTAGTTAGCCGGTCTTTACCATAGCTTTGATTTTATATATACATGAGCTGCACGTTGTACCACTAACTTGTTCACTTTTCAGAATCAAACAAATTCGATAGTTTTTCTCTAAAGCATCAAATCTATTGGAAACAATGAGACAATGAATCAGGAAAATGGAATCAAGGCCACATTAAAAGTGCACCCCAGTCTCCAAAACAGGGCATCAATCAAAAAACAAGAAATATTAATGGAAAATTCCAGTGAATTGAATGATACATTACACAAACATCATTATATTACTTAAAAGACTCACTCAATTACACTGGAAGAGACAAAAGACTACGATTCACACAATGGCAAACTCACTGACTTTCTCAATTTCAAGAAAACAAAACCATCCTACAAACTTGACCACAATCATCTTCAGAGCATGACTAAAAATATCAGTTATAGCCAAATGTAACAGCATGAGCAATTAGTCATTTACTGGTTCTACCTCTTCTTGTTGACTTACAGAATGCTTGTTCGAATAAATAAATAAATTCCAAAAGGCATGTGAGATAAGGCAGTAGCTCGATTCAAAATAACTGTAACTGAATACAAGTAAATGCTGTTTATATCATAAGCTGTATCTTATGCTTGTTTTTAAGACTGATCAGAATGAGTGATACCTTCTCTATAGCAATCTCGGCAGCAGATTGCTCTGCATCCTTCTTCTTTTTAAAGGTCCCTGAAATGACAGAAAGTTCTGGAAGCTGTAATGTGCAACGATAAAGGCAGGGACCCATTTGTGGAATACTCAATCCAGGACATTCAATTTGATGAACCTCCTTCACTTCCTCTACCACATAGGAAGCCTTATTGCCAAAATTTTGGTGTATTATGGCCTTAGGTGTAAGGGTTGCTTTTTTGTGTGAAACAACAATATGTTCCCTAGTCTCCATGACAAAAAGCTCAGACCATCCACTAACCTAGAAAATCCAAAAAAAATAAATAAATCAACAAGAACTTGTTTTATTGCAACACACTTCAAACTGGGCATCATATTAACAATAGATTACTTTTGAAGTGGTTATTAGCATATACAGAATAAATACAAACCACAGACATTACCTTCGCATTTTCTTTAAAGGGATAGTAAAATATTTAACTGAAGGATGTTTGAAAAGCATTAAACTAAAACCTAACTTTTTCTGTAATCGGTATTTGGAAGGCGAGGGGGAATCTAACCCCTAAGCATCAATCCTTGTTAATCCAAATTAACATTTGCAGTAAACTCCCAAATATATATTCACCAACAAAAACACATCAGAATTCGTAGTTTTACACACTCTCCAATATTAACTATAAAAGGAAACTAAAAATCGATCATTACGTACTCGATTACCAGCATAAAGAAGCCCAAGCAAAGAAGCATGCATTTATGATGAAAGTAATAAAAGCAAACAAGAAAGCAGAAAAGCAAATGACACGAAGGAAACTAAACGCGGAATACCTAAGCGAATGCGAGGGAAATAAGAACAGAGGAGCAAGTTGAGGACGTAAGAGTGGTTGAAAGCATATACATTTCAACATTGAAAAAGAGAAAGAGAACAATGAACGAAAGAAAGAAAGAAAAAGAAAGAAATGAGAACCTTGGTTGAGTGAGCAATGGGGTTTGTTTGTAATGGGAAGGAAAATGAAGGATTGTTGGAAAGTATGAGTGAAGCGATGGAGAAGAAAAGAGAAGAGAAGAGGAAAAGGTTTTGTTTTCCTTTCAAATGGAGTCAGTGGCAATTGCGAACCGAATCATGCCTCTACGCGTGGTCGCGTGCTAACTACTTGCTTCATAAGTTTTTTATTGACTGTGAATATATACAGACAGGTCAAAACACCTAAACCATGTGGTGTCTGCAAACATTTTCTAAAATAAAATTAATTAAAAAGTATTATTTAAATTAGTTAAAACATATTTATATTCAATTTTTTTATCATAACAATGTAATAAAATTATTATTATTATTATTATAGTTATACAAATAAATTTAAATAACTTTTATAATTTTACTATGGTAATTTTTTAGATGAATATTTTATTATAAATAGATATTTTAGTTTAAAAGAATAGTGAAATATAATAATAGAAAAACCAAAAAACAGTTACATTTTAAAAGTAAATAAAATTAATAAAATAATTATTTATATTTAAAATAATATTAAAAGAGTAAAATTAGAAATAAAATGTATATATTAAAAGAGAGAATTTAATTTATATAGTAGTATAGATAGTATAGATAATTATATAAAAAAAACTTTAATTTTTATTAGTCGTTTTTTTTGTAATGAAAATTAAAAAAAAATAACTGTAGAATATATAAATACTAATAAATAAGAAGGATTAAACTAGTGCAAATAATAAATGTTGTGTCTTTTGGACGAAGAAGAGAGTAAAACAAATGAAAGAAAAGAATAAAAAGAGTGAAAAGTTAAATTATTTAAAGTAAGAAAGAAATTGTTAGTACATATTTAAAAAATAACTTGTAAAATAAATTTTCAAAATTCTTTTAATATAAAAATAGTTTTAAAATAAATTATAAATTAAAATAAAAGCTATGCAGAGTGAAAACTTATTGAGATCAATGTTGATTAGTTACCTGTAGCTCATTTTTTATTGATAAATTAAAATAAAAGTGATTATAAAATTTAATAAATAAAAACAATATTTTTAAAATAATAGCATATCAAAATAAATTATTATATAAGTTATTAAAATTCAAATTTATTTAGCTTATTTATTATTTTAATATTTCTATTTTAATTATAACTATTAATAAATTATTAACTTACATAATTGATTGTAATTTTATTCATAATCCATTATATTAGTACGTTTCTTCTCTTTTATCATATTTATCATTAACTTTTCTCGATTTCTGTGTATATTACATTTTGGTTTTTATACATTCTTTTACTTTTGGAGTAAATGGCGAATCGGTCTTCAAATTCAAACAAATAGTAAATGAGTTCATTTTCCCCATTTGCTAGACATGGAGAATGAGCTAGAGGGAAACTAATCAACATTGATCTTAAGTAAATTATTTCTTAAAACCATTAAAACTAAGATTAATGTTCATTTTGAGATATTATTCATGAAATTTTGAATATTAAGGTGCAATTTAATTTGCTTGATACCATGAGATATGTTTCATTTAAATGTCATTTATTAATTGATGTGTATGAGAATTTGTTTGATGATTTTCCTAAAATGTAGGCACTAAAGGTGAATTTCAGAGTTCAAATTGAGATGAAAGTCCAATGTTCAAATAAAGATGGAATTGATTATCTATGTGTTGAAATTTACTAAGTTTTTAATTTTTTTTTTCTCTATAACTTCTTATTTTCATTGATATTGTTATTGATTGGACATATTTTGACGTAGTTTATTATTCTAATTCAATTTTAATAAATGTTGGTGTTATAACTTTTAATTTTAACTTTATAATCTCTTAAATTTATGAGTTTTGTTGGATATATGGGTCATGATAACATGTTCTTATGCAAGACCCTTTGGTGCTCGTGATAAAATAAAACTAGCACATGACTTTTCGCACTTTTTCTTGAACAATCAAGAATTGCAACCTTGATTTGAGGCAAGTTGATCAATAAGAAGCTCTAACTTCAAAAGTTCGAAGAGTTAGTAATTGTTGGTCTTTTGTTAGAGATTCATTATCGAAAACATTCAATATCAATAAAATAGAAATTCAACTCATTAGTAAAAAGACACCGTATCAATAAAACAAATTCAACTCACATAATTGAAATAATCTCAAATCAAAACCTTAAAAACAATAAATTTATGAATTTTTAATTTTATATGGTGTTTAACTTTCTCATTTTTACTCAATGTGAAACTTACACTTACTTAGATTTCCAACATAGAAGGAAGCTTATACGAAGAAAAAAGCAAATTCATCCATGATAAGGTTTTTGTTTTGGAAGGAGATACTTATTGGATAGTGTATTGTATGTTTGTCCAGTCAAGCTTAGATGGTCAATCATCAATTAAACTATCTAACTCCAAAGATTGGTGACTTTCTGGACTAATCACTCTAGGTGGAGCTTCTTTGGGTCGAACTCTTATGGACTAACCACTCTAAGTCGAGCTCCTCAAGATCGACCACTCTAGGTCTAGCTCTTCTAGGTAGAGCTCCTCTTGGTTGAGCTCCTCTAGGTAGAGTTCCTCTTGGTCAAGCTCCTCTAGGCTGACTACTCTTGGACAACAACTTGGGGACGAGCTCTTGTGAGTCGTTGCTCTGGCAGGCCACTCAACGCCATCCTCTTGGACATCACCTTGTAGCCAATGAAGAATCAATCTATTAATGTCTATATGGTTGGGTTGTGATTAGATCGATAAAACCATAAAAGCCCATAACAACTACTATAAATAAAGTTCTAAGGTATAACTTTCATATACATGCACATAACATGCATCACTATATTAATTGTTAACTGATCAGTCATCTACTAACTCTAGAATTGGAGTACCTTCTACGGGTACCATCCAAGCAAACTTTGGACAACATGAAAACCGAGCAGTTACCGACCCAGCACCCGTGCAACCACAAAACGCAACAAGGGCACCAAAACGGTAAGGACAAACATGTCAAAACTCAACAATATTCAATGATGGAGACTGTCAACAAGTTTGTACCCTACCATTTTGAAACATTTTGGTGCCCATTGTGGGATCGAACGAGCGTCTCTCATTACTCGCATTGCAATCACAAGAAACCAGATGAGCGGTATACTAAAAGAAGTCTATAAGACCCTTGAAAATAGTTGTAATTAAGATTTTAGATTTTTTTGAAATAAAATAATAATTTTATGTATAATGCTACAGTAAATGCTACAATAAAATACGTATAGTGCTACAGTGAAATATGTACAGTGCTACAGTAAGAATACCTTGTGAATCATGTGTTGCTACAGTACTTCTACAGGAAAAATGTAGTACAATGAATTGTAGTATACCTACAATACTGCTACAGTAAAATGTAGTACAACTACAGTACTGCTACTGTAACCCGAACTTCAACTATAAATAGGGGTGAGAAATGAAGTTTTGGGGGAGGGGGAGGGAGAATGAAATTGAGAAAGGCTTTCGTCAAAAATAAGGAGATATTAGGACTAGAATCTGAGTTGTAGATAAGGTAGCAAGAGCTTCTAAAGAGGTGTTCTTCATCCAAGAAGGAGCAAGAATCAGGTAAGAGGAGCTAACCTTGAGTCTTTTATTTTTTTTTGTATGATCTGAAATCTTTAAGAAGTTGTCTAACCGGCTATGTCATATTCAACTTCTTGTTTTCCCAGGACTTTTATTGTGTTTTTTTATTGCATTTCTTTTGGAAGGATAAGAAGTTGTCTAACCAGCTATGTCAAATTCAACTTCTTAGTTTCTCATAATATTTATATTATGATATTTTATTATTGTTAATTTATTTTGTAATATATTCATTTTGTATAAAATCTGTTATGAATACATTTTATTATGTTGAATAAGCAAACTATAAAATTGTGGGAGTAAATACTCAATCAAATTGTGAAATTTAAAATTTTGATTATGTCTTTTTTTCCAAACCTATCTTACAACTCTAATTGTTACTTAGTCTATCGTTACATCAATATGGAAATTTAATACATAGTTTATAAAACATAGAAATTAACTTTGAGCATCAGAATCTTTAATTTGAGAATTGTACTTAGAGGAAATAATATTAAAATTTTAGGTAGAATGACCATCACTTTATTTCTATCTCTAATTTATATTGGAAAAATCTAAATTCCCCTTCTTTTGTCGATAGATTAAGTTGGAAATTTTGATAAATAATTCCAGAAATATATTACTATATTTTGACCACTCGAATTTGTAACTAGATGTCTGTACTTGGAGAAATTAACTCCGCAATTTTTATAGAGGCGACAACCCAATTGAATAATGTTTTCAAGTTCTATGAATCTCAATTTCTACCTAGTTAACCGTTAAATTAACCTAAAATTTAGATATGTAATTCCTAAGACATGTTGATGTATTTTGACTGTTCCATTTTTTTAAAAACTAAGTGGTGTTTATTAAGGATCTAAATTTTATGTTCCTGAAATTATGGATGCAAAATTTCAAATTTTCACTTTATTAATGATCGAACTGAAATTTTTACCCAAGATTATAGGTAAATTATGATTCAATTTACTAGTTTAGATCCTAAATGTGGAACTTGTATTAAGAATAAATTTTTTTTGTAACGTCATAAAAAAATTTGGTTGATCTATAACCTTTGATTGGTGAAATTATGTTGAGTTTGTACTCGTTATGGGAAAGATAAGATTATAACAAGAGTATGATATATGACAATAGGTTTATTTTATTTTGGATATTGACACAAAAATGGATTATTATCAATTTATGATTAGAGAACGAACATGATTGAGTTAGGTGGATGAGAAGATATGATTTGTTGAAATATTCGGGTGAATATAAGAAATCATTAATTATGAAAAGATGTTTACTACCGGGAATAGTATATTTGGTTTATACCATGAGACCTTAATATGAGTAGAGTAATACATGAGGTTTATGAAAGCAGGCATAGAGTGGTCTGACCATAAGGCTTTAATATAAAAACAAGTCTTCATGAAGATCTTCCTACAAAAAGAGCACTTGAGACTTGACTTTGAGACTTCATCAAAAAATTTTCTCTTTAGCTTTATGCTAACAATCTTCCCCTTTTTTATGATGATCAAAAATATTTTAATTTAAAGCTTTTTTTAACATGTACTGATCTGTAACTCATACATAACTTAA